TCGTCTCCTTTGAAACTGTCAATACTCCATGTGACCGGGATGTGATCCTTCCCATGTTGTAGATGAGGAAATTGAGGAGTAACTTGCTGAAGGTCACAGTTAGTTAGAAGCAGAGCTGGGCTCAAGCTCCTGTCATCACTCTCAGCTCAGTGCTTTCCCTCCACTTCCTGATCACCATGACAGCAGTTGGTACTGGTCTGCCTCCTGGCCCTGGGGCTTCCTGTTTCCCCGCGGGGGTGGGGGTGGGGGTGGGGGTGGGGGGGGGGGGGGGGGGGTGGGGGGTGGGGGTGGTGGGAGAGGCGGGGTTTCAGGACACGTCCTGGGTGCTCTTTTCCTCCCTAGGCTTCCTTCCCCTCAGCTCTTTCATTTCTTGGAGACAGTGATTCAGGGAACCTGAACCACCAGTGGCTGCACAACTGTCACCTTGACTGGGACTTTTCACGGTTTTTCTTCCTGTGTGTCAGGGAGGTCCAGAGTGGGTCTCCATAAACGGCCCCTCTCTCCGGGGTGGGGGAACTCCCCGGTCACTGGAGTAGGTTACAGCTTGTTGTGAGGATGCAGGGAGCAAGGGATGGACTCGGCCCAGACCCCTGCACCTGAAGGGGGAAGTCGCCCATTCCTTGTACTGCCCTTGCTGGAGATGGCGTACTGTGGAGAGCGGGGACTGGCCAGCTCCAGGTAGACTTCCCCGGTGAGAAAAGGAACAGGCTTCACCTAGCCTGGCAGTTTTCAGTTTCCTCATCAGGAAAGATGGGATTAAATAGCCTCGAAGGATCAAGGATGGATTACAAAGGTGCAAATGAGATCATGCCCCAGCCCACCCGGCCTGACCTAATAACAGGAGGTTCCGCTCCCCACCAAGCTGCGCTGCTGACTTCCTCTCACCTCTAGGCCGGCCTCGCTGGGTCTCCTGGAGGGAGGAGTTCAGGCTTGGTGGGTGGGATCCTAATAGCTCCTCCCTCCTAGTGGCATATATATGCCATGGTCATATCACGGACCACACAATCTGGTGCAAGACTAGATTCAGAGTCCTTTCTGGGAGGCCAGCCTCAGAGACCAGCCACCCCAGACCCACGCAGAGCCACCGGCTCCAGGTAAGCAGGGAGACGGGACGACGTGGGTAGGGAGGCGCGAGGTGGAAAGACCAGGGCTTCCTGAGCGCCTGCTCTTTGCCCAGCCGTAGACGTCGCACCTCGAAAGGCATCCAGAATCGGGGCTGGCTTATTTTTAAAACACTTGCGGTTTATTATGATTTCCTGGTCCCTCTAGGAGTCTTGTCCTAAGTCACCTAAATGCTTGCAAAATATATAGATACCCAGATCTAAGGGGTCTGAAAACGGGAATGTCTGCGTGTGATAAGCCAAGGCGAGAGTCCTCAGAGACCCGCCTCACTGACCATAGCAGCCTGTTCTAGATGATGAGAGAGACCGGATGCTGTGGTGCGGGAGGATGAGCGTGGTAAGAGCCTTGGATCCTGCGCGCCTGCCCTAGTGGGGCCCGAGATAGGACCACACAAGGGAAGCTAGACTTAGATTCAGGCTATTTTGAGACACTGCTTTTATTATGGTCCCGGGTCCTTCAATGAGCCTTGTCCTCAGTCGTCTAAATGCCTGCTAAAAATACAGATGTCGCCATCCCAACCTGTCTCTATTGGTGACAAAGCGCCCTCTGCAGCCGCGGGTGGAGTCCCCTTCCGGGATGTCTCAGTGACGGGTGGTTTGTGTACAGGGATCAGAGCTCTGGGGCCCTGATATGCCTGGTAAGAAAATCCTGTAGGGATTTGATCTTCCCTAATCTGACCATCTGCTGGTTTACAGACACTCAGAGAGTTTAAGTAGGTTGCCCAACATAACTCAGTTTCAAAGGGACACCCAGAACCCTGGGCAGATTTTAGTCATTCCACAGGTAATCTGGCCAGGGACTAAGGAGACATATGGACATAACAATCATGGCGGAATAACACAGCATTGTGTGGAAATTGCAGATCTCCAGAACCTGTGTAAGTTTGCCACCTGGTGGCAGCATGGGAGACAACTACATGCTTGTACAAAGGAGCTGGGGCCGAGGGAGCTGAACATACTAGAAAAGGGAAGGAAGGTGGGAGGTGCAGAGAGCTTGGCGCTGGGAGAAGCTGGAGCTGAGGGAAGGACTCTGGTCTCAAGATGGGACAGCAATCCTGGAGGAGAAGGTCATGATGAGAGGAATGTGAGGGTGGATGGGAGATTGGAGGAGGTCCCAGTGGGTGCTGATGGACTAGGCCATCAGGCGGGGGCAGGCGTCCAGAGGAACAAGTAGGTAGCTTTGACGAGGATGGTAGTGGTGACAGCAAAAGGCATGTTCTTTGACCATAAGATCCTGAATATGCAAAGTCTGGGATATTATTAGTTACCCTTGAGTACCTTCTTTGTGCCAGGCCTGCTGCTACACATGTCCCCTCCTCCATAAATCCTTTCTGAGTTGTCCGGGTCACATGGCCAAAATGGAGGAGCCAGGATTTCAGCCCAGGCAGCCTGTCTCAGACTCTGCTCTCTCCGCCCTACCAGGCTCCCTCTGGCTCCACTCCCCTCTATTTGTAGTCTTGTAAATCTTTGTTTATCAGATGAGGCACAAAAAGTTCCCTCTTGTTTTTCAATCTGATGTCACTAGATTATTAAAAATGTTCTGCTTTCATTTCAATGATGGGTCATTTGTTTCAATGGTTTATCTCCTTAACCCATTTTTTTCTTGTCTTTTTTTTTTTTTTTTTTTTTGAGGAAGATTAGCCCTGAGCTAATACTGCCAGTCCTCCTCTTTTTTGCTAAGGAAGCCTGGCCCTGAGCTAACATTGTGCCCATCTTCCTCTACTTTATTCGTGGGACGCCTACCACAGCATGGTATGCCATTCGGTGCCATGTCCGGACCGGGATCCGAACAGGCCAACCCCGGGCCGCCGAGAAGCGGAACGTGCGCACTTAACCGCTGTGCCACCGGCCGGCCCCTACCCATTTCTATATCCAGGTTATTCATTATGTTTTGTGTGGATTTCTTTCTATAGGAGCTATTTATATGTTCAACGAAATATCAGTTTTCTGATCTTCAATCATAGAAAGGGCTTCCTCAGCCAAAGAGGATTAAAATATTCTTCCATAATTTATTCTTATAATCTATGGTTTTATTATCATTTTTACTTTTAATGGACATCCAGACAGAAAATTGCATGATCCTATAACACTACAACCACCACGCACATCAAGAAATAGATTATTCCCAGCACCCCCAGAAACTCACCTCATGTTTCTCCCAGTCACTAGCCTGTCCCTGCTCCCCAGGGATCAGCTCTATGCTGAGGTCTAACACCATAAACTAGTTTTTCCTGCACTCACAGTCTGTATTCTTTTGTGTCTGGCTTGTCTTCACACATTATACCTGTGAGATTCATCCAAGTTTGGAGATGAGGAGCAGTCAGTGCTGTTCCATTGCTGATTAGTGTCCCCTTGTGTGAACGTGCCATAATTCATTTATGCATTCTAATGTTGTGGGACATTGGGTTAATGCCACTGTAGACCTGTAATGAAAAATATTGCCCTGAACCTTCGTGTATGTGTTTTCCTGAACATTTTTTATTCCCTTTTGGTTCATATGTCTGACGGTTATACACCCTAAGTAGAAAAACTTGGTCCTTGGGCCGGCCGGTTGGTGGAGCAGTTAAGTTAGCACGTTCTGCTTCGGCGGCTGGGGGTTCGCTGGTTTGGATCCCAGGTGCGGACATGGCACCGCTTGGCAAGCCATGCTGTGGTAGGCGTCCCACATATAAAGTGGAGGAGGATGGGCACAGATGTTGGTTCAGGGCCCGTCTTCCTCAGCAAAAAGAGGAGGATTGGCAGCAGATGTTACCTCAGGCCTAATCTTCCTCAAAAAAAAGAAAAAGAAAAACTAGGTCCTAAAATATATGTTCAGAGTCCGTTGATGATGCAAAATAGATCACTGAAGTGGTTGTATGAACTTAGATTCTTACAACTGTGCATGAATGTTTCAGTAACACCACATATTACAAGGACTTTCATATTTTAGCACTTTGAAATTCACCTTGGGGTTCTCAAACCCCAAGATTGTCTTAAACTCAAACCAAGATTGTCTTAAACCTATCAGGGTTTGAGATGATTAAGTCCATAGACTCTTTAAGGGGGTGGCCTATTTTTGACCCTCACTTCTAGTGTGTAGTACTTTAGTGATCCCAAATTAAAGTTTGTGGTACTTACCAGGAAGCGTCTTCTGTGGGGTGCCCTGAACTCCAAGTTTGTTCCCTCAACCCTGAGAGTTGCAAAGCTCTACTCACTTGCTCAGCTGTTCAGCTTCCACTTGGATCAACAACTGCTTCTCAGGAAAACCTGTAGTCCTTTTAGGATCTTGTCCTCACAAATCGTCAGCAGTGTGTAGCTCACCAATGATTTCAAAAAGTAGTTGTGTGAGTGTGTTTGTCAGCTTCATCTCACACTGAAATCCTGATCTCCAATTTCATTCCATGCATCATGTGGAAATGAGTTCGCTGAGTTGGAGGGTCCTCAGAGTAAATCTAGTAATCTAGTCCAAATCCCATCCATGGATGTACACAGTTGGGTAGATCCTCCAGTTAAGTATCTGTGGTAGAAGCCAAAATGCGCCAAATCCTTTTCTTAGGTTTTTCACAAGATTGAAATGACTGAAGTTGGTATTTTTAAACTTGCTTACCTGATTCTCTTGGAGATGGGGATCTTAAATAATTTTTCCTGGGTCCCCCAGATTGTAGGTGACTACGGCTAGAGGCTGACCCAGGGCCAAGGGACCTGTTCCCAAATCCACGTACTTTCTCCAGTCCCATGTGGCACCTTTGTAGTTGGCTTGAGTTTAGTGAATTGTGGGGGTGGAGAGAAGAATCGGTTTTCCCTCAAATGTGGCAGTGAGCAGGGCCACAAGAGGAATGGTAGCCTTTTTTACATGAAACAATGTTTTCTCATCCCCAGGAACGAATAGGCCCTTTGGAGTCATGTCTGCTTTCTGACCAGGAGCAGTGCTGAGCTTGGATTCAACTACTCTGTGATCAAGGAGCTCCTCTGGGCACCTACCTATGCACCCAAGGCCAGTGGCCTCAAGGAACAAGACATTCAGGACAGGAAGCACGGTGAGATCTGAGGGTGTGTCTGTTCCGTGGAGAGATGCTGCAGAGCCCAACCTCCTGAAGAAAACCCACCTCGGTCCAGTCCTTCATTCACAGCGCAATGGCGGTCGAAGCAGCCCTGGCGGGACTCCAGGCAGAAGCCAACTGTCCCATCTGTCTGGATTATCTGAGAGACCCCGTCACCATCGAATGTGGCCACAACTTCTGTCGATCTTGCATCCAACAGTCCTGGGAAGACCGCTGGGACATGTTCCCTTGCCCGGTCTGCCGTCACCCGTGCCAACAGAGGCACTTCAGGAGCAACGCCCAGCTGGGAAGGATGATCGACGTCACCAAGCTCCTCCACATCACCAGGAACAAGAAGAAGAGGCAGGAAGAGAGGCGCTTGTGCGAGAAGCACAACCAGGTCCTGACCCTCTTCTGTGAGGAGGACCTGGAGGTGTTGTGTGCCCTGTGCACTCAGCCCCCTGACCACCAGGGCCACCAGGTGAGGCCCCTGGAGGAGGCTGCCTCTCATCACAGGCAGAGACTCAGCAGTTACATCGAGCCCCTGAAGAAGCAGGTGGCAGATGTTCAGAAATTAATAAGCATTCAAAGCAAAAAGCCCTTGGAACTGAGAGAGAAGGTGCAAAATCAGAGACGGAAATTAGCCTCTGAGTTTGAGCACCTGAACCGGTCTATAGCACGTGAGCAAGAGGCGGTTCTGGCAAGGCTGGCTGAGGAAGAGAGGGACATTCACCGGAAACTCAGTGCAAACATTACCGCATGTTCAGACCACATTTCCACCCTCAGAGGCCTACTGAAGGAGGTGGCAGAGAGGTGCGCGATGTCTGAGGTGAGACTGCTGACTGACATCAGGAGCATCCTCCACAGGTGCGAGCGCCTGGACCCCCCAGCTCCCTACTCGATCCAGTTAAGGAAAGAGGGGTGCAGCCTCCCTCCGCAGTATTCGGCTCTGCGGAAAATTATTCAGAAATTTAAAGAAGAAGTTACTCTGGATCCTGAAACAGCACATCCTAATCTGCTTGTCTCTGAGGACAAAAAGGCTGTGACATTTGTGAGGAAAAAGCAAAGAGTTCCTCGCAATCCAAAGAGATTTACAGTGGATCCAGTTGTCCTGGGTTCTGAAGGGTTCGACTGTGGCCGACATTACTGGGAGGTCCAGGTGGATGACAAGCCTGCGTGGGCCGTGGGGGTTTGTACAGATTCCCTTTCCAGAAAGGGAAAGCGGCCCCCTTCAGGACACAGCAGACGCTGGACAATTCAGCTGCAGAATGGTGACTATGTGGCACAAGGCGCTGTTCCTGTCCCTCTTGTGCTGAAGGAAAAGCCCAGAGGGGTTGGCATTTATCTGGACTGTGAGTTGGGTAACATTTCATTTTACAGTTTGAATGACAGGTCTCACGTCCATTCTTTCACGGATACATTTTCTGAAGTCCTAAAGCCTTACTTCTGTATCGGACGTGACTCTCAACCTGTGATGGTCTGTGCAGCGAGAGATTATGAAGGATGAACAGTGACTCTGCTTCCTTTTCTTCCTGTAGTTTGTGGAGTAGGTAGAATATGTCAGTAAATTGAGCACCAACAGAAGTTTTTTTAATACTGTTTGACTTAAAAACATGCAGAAAGTTTTTCTCCTTTTGTTTTTTTTTCTTAATTTTGTTTCAATAGCAATAGAGATGTGGGAACTAATAGAGATGAGGGGATTCACTGTAAAATGTTTCAGGAATTCTAACCTGGAGTGTATAACATTGTAATTTCACGGCTTCAATGAATTTGTGAAGTGTTACTTATTTCCTAACCCTATACATTTCCGTGTTTCATGAGTACCTTAAACATTCCAGGTGGGAGAGCAGACAACTGTGGGGAGACAATTCTCGGTGGGTCTCAGGTTTCTGCACGTGTTGGGAGCTGGGCACTGACTGCTTCAGACAATATAAATAACATTTTTCCTTGGTTTTTTAATTTGGGAGCCTATTTCAGTTTTGAGTGTGGGTCAAATATTTTTGTTTTGTTATGAAAACAGACATATATATAAACATCGATTAAAAACATAGGTACAGGGGCTGGCCCCGTGGCCGAGTGGGTAAGTTCGCGCACTCCACTGCAGGCGGCCCAGTGTTTGGTTGGTTCGAATCCTGGGCGCGGACACGGCACTGCTCATCAAACCACGCTGAGGCAGCATCCCACATGCCACAACTAGAAGGACCCACAATGAAGAATATACAACTATGTACTGGGGGGCTTTGGGGAGAAAAAGGAAAAAATAAAATCTTTAAAAAAAAGAAAATTTAAAAACATAAGTACCTTGTAAAGGAGAAAAAATAAAATGAGTATCCATGTATAAAGCACCCAGATTAAGAAATAAAATGTTACACAGTAGTTTAGAGGCCCCTGTGGACACATCTACACTACCTCACCCTCCTTTTCCTCACCCCTGAGGCATCCGCTATCTTGATTTGATAATAAATTCCCTTGATTTTCTTGATGGGTTTGCCACATAAGCGCATCTTCACAACCAAGAAAGTTTACTTAAAAACCAACACACCTAGCTGAATAATCAATGTATTTTACTAATAGAATAAGTGAAAAAGGATATAATTATCTCAATAGATGCAGAAAAAGCATTCGGGAAATTTCATCATCCACAGTTATGGACTGAATGTGCCCCACCCTAAATGTATATGCTGAAGCCCGACTCCCATTGTGACTGTTTGGAGGTAGGTCCTTTGAGAAAATAATTGGAGTTAAATGAAGTCATAAAGGTGGGACCAAATCCAATATGACGGGTGATTTTTTAAAAGAACGAAAATTTAGCAAATTAAGAAAAGGTAATTTCCTCAGTCTTTTAGTAGCTATCTACCCCAAACCCACAGCTGTGTTCAAATTCTGTTAGTGTTCACTCTGAGAATAGAAATGGGACAAGATTCTTGCTACCACTTGCTCAGCACTGTGTTGGGCCCTAATTCAGTATAACTGGTGTCCTCAAAAGAACAGACAAAGCACAGCGGAGACGTGCACGGACAGAGAAAAGGCCGTGTGAGGACAGGCCATCTGCAACCAAGGAACCTCGGTAGAAACCAAACCTGCTAACATCTTGGTCTTCGACTTCTAACCTCCAGACTGCAAAAAAATTAATTTCTTTTGTTTAAGATGCCTAGTCTGTGTTATTAAGTCATCCTTACCGGATAAATACATGGTCTCATGATAAGGAAAAAAACAAGGGACTGGCCTGGTGGTGCAGTGGTTAAGTTCTCATGTTCTGCTTTGGCAGCCCGGGGTTTGCCGATTTGGATCCCAGGTGCAGACCTATGCACTGCTTGTCAGGCCACGCTGTGGCAGGCATCCCACATATAAAGTAGAGGAAGATGGGCACAGATGTTAGCTCAGGGCCAGTCTTCCTCAGCAAAAAGAGGAGGATTGGCAGCAGTTAGCTTAGGGCTAATCTTCCTCAAAAAAAAAAACCCACAATATCGTTTGCATTAGCACCCCCAAAAATGAAATAATTAGGTATAAATCTAACAAAATATGTGCAGGATCTATATGAGGAAAACTACAAAATGTTGATGAGCAAAATCAAAGAAAAACTAAATATATGGAGACATAGTCTATGTTTGTGGATGGGAAGACTAAATATTGTCAAATGTCAGTTCTTCCCAACTTGATCTATAGATTCACTGAAATCCCAATCAAAATCCCAGAAAGTTATTTTGTGACTATCAACAAACTGATTCTAAAGTTTACATGGAGAGGCAAAAGACCCATAGTTGCCCACACAATAATGAAGGGGAAGAACAAAGTTGGGGGCCTAACACTATCTGACTTCAAGACTTACTATAAAACCACAGTAATGAAGACAGTGTGAAAGAAAAGACAAATAGATAAATGGATCAGAATATTAAGCCCAGAAATAGACCCCCAAAATACAGTCAACTGATCTTTGACTAAGGAGCGAAGGCAACACAATGGAGCAAAGATAGTCTTTTCAACAAATGGTGCTGTAACACATGCAAAAAAATGAATCTAGACACAACCTTCTACCTTTCACAAAATTAACTCATGAACCTAAACGTAAAATGCAAAACTATAAAACTCCCACAAGATAACATTGAGAAAACCTAGATAGCCTTGGGTAGGGTGGGGACTTTTTAGATACAACACCAAAGGCAGGATCCATAAAGAAATAATGATAACCTGGACTTCATTGATATTAAAAACTTCAGTTCTGCAAAAGACAATGTCAAGAGAATGAGAAGACAAGCTACAGAGTGGGAGAAAACATTTGCAAAAAACACATATGATAAAGGACTGTTATTCAATATATACAAAGAACAACAACAAGAAAACACACAACCCATGGGGGCCTGCCCAGTGGCGTAATGGTTAAGTTCCTGCCCTCTACTTTGGCAGCCCAGGGTTCACAGGTTTGGATCCTGGGCACTGACCTCCGCATTGCTCATCAAGCCACACTGTGGTGGCATCCCACATACAAAAGGAGGAAGATTACCACAGATGTTAGCTCCTCCTCACCAAAAGAAAGAAAGAAAGAAAGAAAGAAAGAAAGAAAACAAACAATCCAATTTAAAAATGGGGCAGGGGCAGACCCCATGGCTGAGTGGTTAAGTTCGTGCGCTCCGCTGCAGGTGGCCCAGTGTCTTGACGGTTCAAATCCTGGGTGCAGACATGGTACTGCTCATCAAGCCACGCCGAGGCAGTGTCCCACATGCCACAACTAAGAATATACAACTATGTACTGGGGCGCTTTGGGGAGAAAAAGGAAAAAAATAAAATCTTTAAAAACGGGGCAAAGACTGTAACAAACACCCCACCTAAAGCTTTATACAGATTGCAAATAAGCATATGAAAAGATGCTCCACATCATATGTCATCAGAGAAATGCAAATTAAAACAGCAACGAAATAGCCTATTATACACTTTATATTATATAGTGTATATTGTATATATATTTTGTATTGTGTACATATTGTATTGTGTATATATTGTATATTATATATACACCTATTAGAATGATCAAAATCCAGAACACTGACAACACCAAATGCTGATGAGAATGTGGAGCAGCAGGAACTTTCTAACGGCAAGTGGGAATGTACAACACTACAGACACTTTGGAAAACTGTTTGGCAGTTTCTTACAAAACTAAACATACCCTTACCATACAATCCAGCAATAATGCTACATGGCATGTACTCAAAGGAGTTGAAAACTTACATCCACACAAATCCTGCACATGGATGTTTATAGCTGCTTTATGCGTAATGCCAAAACTTGGAAACAATCAAGATGTCCTTCAGTAGATGAATGGATAAACTGTGGTACATCCAGAAAATGGAATATTATTCAGTTCAAAAAGGAAATAAATTACCAGGCTGTGCAAAGACACAGAGAACCTCAAATATGTATTAAGTGAAAGAAGCCAATCTGAAAAGGCTACATCTTGTATGATTGCAACTATATGACGTTCTGGAAAAGGCAAAACTCCAGGGGCAATAAAAATTACCAGAGGTAATTTTTATTGGGGTAGGGGCATCAGAGCACAGAGGATTTTCAGGACTGTGAATCTACTCTGTATGATGCTGTACTCATGGATACACGTCGTTATACATTTGTCCAAACCCACAGAATGTACAAGACCAAGAGTGAACCGTAATGTAAACTATGGACTTGGGGTGATTACAATAAGTCAAGGTAGTTTCATCAATTGTAACAAATGTGCCAATGTGGTGGGGGATGTTGATAACGGAGGAAGCTATGCATGGGTAGGGGGGGGGATATGAAAAATCCCTGTACTTTCCTCTCAATTTTGCTGTGACCCTAAAACTGCTCTAAAAAATAGTCTCTAACTAAAAAAAAAAAAGAAAGAAATATGTATATGCACATACACACACAGAAATGAAGTAAATGTGGCAAATAATTGTTGAATTGTTAAATCTAGGTAGAAGGATGTTCATCGTGTTATCCTTTCAACTTTTCTCCATGCTTTAAAATTTTCAAAATAAACAGTTTGAAAAGAAATGTAATCATTATATTCCCAGGCCTGTGGCCTTGTTCCTGGCACACAGTCATCCCTTAGGAAATCTCTGCGAATGAATAAAGACTGGTTAGATTCCTGGTGCCTTGGGAAAGCTCCCTCATCCACCTGAGCCTGAGACTGCTCCTCAGTAAATGTCTGGACTGGAGGTGAGGATAAGGAAAATAAATGACTGAGGGCCTCTATTCAATCCGTTACTGCTTGCACTATGAACAGGCATCTCCAAAATAACAAGTCTTCCAACCCCTCCCAAATCTCTCCCTCCCTGAAACCTGCTCCTCCCCCACTCTTCACCATCTCAATCAGCGGAAACTCTTTTCTCTTGATAAAAAGCAAAAACCTAAAAATGATCTCTGATTTCTCTCATTCTTTAACTCCTTACAGCCAATCTGTCAGCATATCCTGTTGCTCTTCCTCCACACTCTACTACACCCTCCTGGGAGACACCTGGGAACCCCTTCTCTGGTTTGCCTGACTCTGGTCAGTCCTATTTGCCTAAAAGACTGGAAGCATCTGACCATTGCCTGGCCCACCAGCTGCATCAAAGCCACTTTCCCCTGTGCTCAGCCCTCTTAATAATGTTCCACATTCATCTTGCCATTCCAGTGTCGACGAAAATAATCCATAACCAATCTATAAATGAAAATTTGGGTGAGTTTATTCTGAGCTTAAATCTTAGGATTATAACCCGGGAGAGTCTTTCCACAAAGGAACAGAGCACTCCAAAGAAGTGGGGGTACATAGGGCGGTTATA